AATGCTGTTTAAATACAAATCAGTAAGTTTCGTATTAAGACCTCTGACATTTTGATAATAAATAGTCAGCGAATTATTGTTAGTTAGTTTTTTGTATTYACGGAATTTCTTGGCATTTTAGTGATAACTACAGAGGGCTTATCACGTTTGTGCTCGAATTCGCGCAMAAATACCCCAGATGGCCAGAATGAGTTGTCAAGTATTAATTGAAAACTGTCAGCGGATACGTCGATCTTAAACGAGGAAATATCCCGGTTATACTTGAAATTAAATTTACGGACGTCTGTATCTGCCGTTTTTAATTTCGACGTGATGTAACTTTTTATATCATCGACTGAGGTATCCACAGCAAATCTCGAGACAAAAATTGGCTTTTTCCGCGGTATAACAACTAAGTTTTTATTAGCTGACTTGTAGGTATTTGGAGGCGGATCTTTAGATGTTTTCCGCGTACCGTGTTCCGTAGCAGTTTTCTCAGTGTCCTAAGCAGACGGAACCTTCTCTCCTTGAGGACAAGGGGATGAGAGATTAGTGAGGTCAATAGTCGGTGGAGGCATTCTTTCTAAGGAAGATACAGTGGTATCTTCATCAGACGGCCGTTTACGTTTAGATGAAGTTTTTGGATTCTCTTCCTGAGTATTTAGGCATTGAAACGATTGAATCAGCGTTGCATAACGCCTAAATTTTTCAGAAAGGGTTTCAAGATCACGACCAATTTCCTTGAAACCATTGCGCGCCTGCTTAAAAACTTTAAACAGTTCAATTTCAGTTGGCCTGCATTTTAAACAAGACCAGCGCAATCCCTTACTGTCAAGAATAGAACCCAAGATCCTACCTGTCAGTCCAGCACATTTAAGATGGGCAAGCCCATCACAAAGCCAGCAAGAAACAAAGCGTTCCGACTCACCTTTCACAGAGCAGTTCGGAAAGTTACAAATCATAATGAACAAAAACAATATTAAACAAAAATATAAAGATGTTAAAAAATAAAGGTAAGAAGAGCAAAAAATAATAATAATATATTTATAACAAATGAATGCAATAAAAATAGTTAGTTATCAAAGATAACAACCAATGTAGCGAGCAGTTTGCGATGCACTGCAACACACGAAAAGTAAGAACTCGCGAACAGCTGTGGACAAAGATGGAAACGAATAAAAACAAGAGAGAAATTTAAGTAAGCAATGTAAATTAACACTAATTAATTGCACTATTTAAAATGTAGCACAAAACAAATTGAAAATGACTCGGCACAATAAATTTAAATTAGCTAACACAGAATAAAAGTAAATTCAATAGCTTCAATAGCACAATATAACACTGATACTTACTACTGATACTCTTAAAAGATCAATTAATCCAAATATTTTCACAAATAAGTCTTGAATATAAATTAAATAAATTCGACAGAGCACCAAAATTCACAGCTGAGCACGAGAAGGGTTGCCAAAGAATTAACGAAACGTTCATCAGCAGCCATCATTGTAACGGTCCATATTGATCGTCCATTTGTAATAGAAATTAAGAGTTAGTCGTTAGGAGTCACGCCCGGAACACACAGAGCACCACAGACTGCAAGCGACATCTGTCTAATATTAAAAATATACACGTTCTTATGGACGCAGTTATATAGTTATGCAGCTGCCTCAATAACTGTGTCCTTAAGGACATTTGTACTTTTATATTTGACAGATGTCGGTTGCAGTCGGTCGCGCTCTATGTGTTCCGAGCGTCAAGTGAAGTTTGTTAATAGCGGGCTCGCTTGAAGTTAGATAAGTGCGAAAAACTAGGAACGTAGATATTGTTAAAATGAACTCCACATTTGAAGGGATTTTGTGATTTTTGACCGATCGGAAAATGACTGCACCCAGTACGTTATAACTGGCGGCCAGCGCAGTCGTCAGTGAAATTAGTTCAAAATACTGACATGCACAAGTGTACACATATAAAGAAAATAAAAACATAACAGTGAGTTACTGATTTCTGGTAATTTGCAAGTGAGTGTACCCACCTCGATATAGCTAGTATTAAACGCAGTTTCCAGTAAAATCGTGAAACGGTGCATATATTTCACGGATCAAGTTCCCAAAAACTGTACTCAGTGTGCGACTGTACCCAGTACGTTGTAACTGGCAGTCAGCACAGTTTCCAGCAAATTCGTATAACGGCGCAAATCCGTATACGAGTGTATAAGACGAGCCAGCAGTTGCAGGCAGCAAAACATCGTAACGGTAGAGACGTTAAAAGAGAAACTAAGAGAAGTAGGGTTATGCGTTACGGGTGGGAAAAAGGAGTTTCAACTGCGTTTGCTACAACTCTTAGTTTTCGGTGATGAGCAAGAGGAAGGGGATTGCGAAAACGAATCGGGAAACTCGTTGTTACGTTGACGTAAGAGCTGCTCTATCGAATTCGCAAAGGGTGTCATTTTCGTTGCGCAACATTACAGGCGGTGTTTTAAGTTGTTTTCGTGAAGATACTTGCGACGTTCCGCACTGAGTTGAGGAATTTGAGGATATAGCTGACACAAATAAGTTAGAACTATTTGTATACGCTAAACAATTACTTAAGGAAGCACCGAAATTGATTGCACGTGGACTAGGAAGAGTAAGAGACTGGGCTAGTTTAAAGCGTTGACTTACCGACGAGTTTGGGGAAAAATGATATGCGTCTGAAGTGCATCGAGCATTAAAAAACCAGCGCAAACAACCAAAACAAAGTTTTGAGGAATACCTTTATGCTATTTTAGAATTAGTGAAGCAAATTTCCTTAGATGAAAGAAGCGTAGTAGAGTATTTAAGGCATATAAGAGTATGTTATATCAAGCCAAAACGGTGAGCGAAATGAAGGAACAAATTCGTATATACGAGAAAGTTAGAAGTGTACAAGCTACAGTAGGCAAAGGATACTTGGAACGGTTCGCTACAGAGAGTCAAGAATCGATGAAAAGGAAGTATTTTAAGTGTGACAAGGAAGGTCACATTGCAGGAGCCTGTCCGAACGCTAGTTCAAATAAAGTATTTTTTTTTAAGTGCAAACAGAAGAGACAGTATTCTCAGCAGTGTAAAGAGCAGAGCGATAAGCCGATAAAAAGTAAACGGGCAAAAAAAATTTATAACAAATTAGAAACGTCTACCAGTAAAGGCGGAATAATTTTCGTTGATGCAACTATCAATGGTTTTATCTTCACTGCACTAGTGGATACAGGATGTATCGTGTGTATCATGAGGTATGATACCATAGTGATGTAAGGAGATATAAAGCTATCTGGAGAAAAACAAAAACTGTTCGGTGTAGGTAGAGGCTTTCAGCATAAGGCGCTTTACGGCCGATATTTCAATTGAAGGTTTCTCATTACAAGTAACATTTCACGTCGTTAGGGAAAGTGATATTTCGCATGCAGCCGTGAGCGGAAATGAAGTACTTCGCGATGTTGAGCTAGTTTGTAGAAAAGGGTGTGTTGAGTTCTAGGGTGCAAGAGGGGAAACTGAGGACTTTGTGTCAACTTTGTGCTGAGGTTTTCGAGGAACAAAAGGATATTACCCAACCAGTATTAGAAACGAACTCGGAAGTCATTCGTGACAATGAGTTAAGCGAAGAGTTTGGGATATTGTGTTCAATTGGAATGGCAATATTCAGAATAGCGTGTCCTTATTGCGTCGCCAGTTGTGATAGTTACAAAGAAAAACGGAGCAAAATGGTTTTGTCGTGATTATCTTAAAATAAACGAACATATAATCATTGAAAATCGTCCAAAAGCAGTGCTGGAGGAAGCGTTAGACAGATTACAGGGAGCAAGGGTCTTCACCACATTAGACTTGAAGAACGGATTCTATCATGTGCCAATAAAACCAGGATCTCGGACGTCTTTCGTAACAGGTATTGATATATATTCATTTTTCAAAAAGTTAGAACGAGTTCGTAGATAGGCGTAATAAGACCTCTGCAACGCCCATAAAACGCGATTATAGGAAGCCCTATATATACCCATGCTACAATGCGAAAATGAAAAATCGGCGAAATCAAACTACAACCATGCCTACTTCTCATCTAACACAATTCCAGTATACAAATTAGGCACTAAAGATGTATCGGGATAAAACTTTTCACAAATACTGCCTTTGAAATGTGGCAGCAGCACAAAAGCAGAACAAAACCAAATCGAACCAAAACTGTTCAAGCTTCAATATATGGACCGCAGTTGCTATTGCGAATCTTTTATCGATAATATGGGTCTATCTCTGATTTATATTATAGAAACTTAGAGATAATAATTCTCCCAATAGAAAGATTTTGGAACTTTCGGCTGAATTTATACTGCAAATATCAGTCAATATGTGAATTATTTTAATGGAACTGAAGGTGTTATTTTTTTTAATAACAATGGATCTTTGTGCATAAATTGAACAAAATCGGGTGAAAGCTTGCCACAGCCGCTATATAACTAATATCAGGCTTTTAAACATCCGGTTGACTTTATACCACATGTCTTGGTGAAGGTATGTGAGATACCTTAGATGAAATCGGGTCAATACCACCCCTATCTTCCATATATGTTCCTATTTTAGGAAGTTCAAGATTTCAAAAAGATTGAGAAAGTCTTTATTTTAAAGTAAGGTTTTGTTCACACCTGAAACTATTTCTCCAGATTTGATTTTTGAAAATGTATGTAAAGAGTATGAAATCTTCGGTTACACCCGAACTTAGCTCCTCCCTACTTGTTAAGAGTTATAAAACGCAAATAGAAACGTGTAATATTTGAAAATGTTATTGCTCATCAACTTGTGGCATTTATAACATATTCGATCGTATAAGTCTTGCAAAATTTTCAACCCAAAAGGGAACCTATTAAAAGGCGTAACTTTGAGAAATTATCGCCGACGAAATATGTTTTTAATGTAAGTAAAATCAGAAATATATGTATCTCTCAATAAAAATCTATTGAGTAATTTCTTTCTTCTTTGAAAGTGAGCCTTGTGTTTTTTACTAAGCAAATTGTATACCTTCTTCATCTTCTGATTCTGAGTTTTCAGAGTTTGAGCTATCTTCCGACACAGCATCAGTTTGCATTGGATTTATCGTAATCGTCAACGCGGAATCGTCCCAGACCAAGCTTTCATCGGCAATCTATAAGAAAAAAAAAAAACATTTCGTAAGCACACAGAATTTTCAAAAGTACGCAGTATCAACCTTTGGGCATGGCTGCCTGTCCGTATACTTGAGACCGTTGCTTTTTAGACGAGCTATCGACACTCCGCATAATACGATCACCAAAAATGCACAAATCAAAATGATGAGCATTGTCGGATGTGAACTCTCGGCTATATATAAAGTAAATATTAATTATGTAGATGATGTATGCTCACACAAATACAATAACCGTTGTAAATATTAAACATAAACTTTTGATCTACCTTTGTGTATAATTGAACGGACATGTACTTTGGGCTCTTGTACATCATGTGAATGCATCATAGCATGTGCGAAAAGTCTGTTATCTGTAAAAAGAAAAACAAAGTGGAATATATGTATATTTTTATTTTTGTATCTAACCACAGTTCAACCTACCAAACGATGTTGATCCTACACCGCCATTTACACCACTAATTCCATAAGGTGAGTGTTCAGCTACACCAAAAATAGACGCTGTTGTAGTTGTAGTCTTGGGTGCAAGTTTGGGATGCAACACCGTTAAAGTCAATGTGAATTCTTGACTCTTAAACTCAGAATTAAGCTGTGTACAAGCTAATTTGAAAACACGATTTAAATAGTAAGCCGGCTTTTTGTTACTGTACAAAAGTGCCTTCAAAACCTCTAAATAATTTTCTATAGCATCACTGCCTATCATTTCCACGCCATCCTTATTAATATTGGTCTTTATATCCAGTGTTGAAGACAGCGATTCATCACTGTCTACCTGAATTTCCTCATGGTCTGGATTTAACGATGGAAACACAATAACACTACACGAGTCCAAGTTTTGCATATTTGACATAATTTTATTGTTTGCGTTGACCACAGTTATGTTTATATTGCCAAGAATGTGAACACCGCGCTTAATTTCCGGATAAGATACCAAGTTATTTGTGTTACCTATAATGTATCCTTCGTTTAGATAAAAGTGGATATGAGTCATATTATTATGCTATCACTAAGCACTAAATTAAGATACAAAACCGTATTGTGTACAGGGGGTTGTAGTTACAAAGGAGCGCATGTGGCCTAAAAGTTTTGAAAAAAAAGGGACGTGGCCGCGTCCTGTAAGATGTGTATTGTACAAAACCAATTAAGATACAATAACCAAAGTCGCTCAAGACAATTCACTTAAGCACCCCTAAACTCTGTCAAAATCGATGAAATCGGATAATAACCCCGCCCACATCCTATGGGCGCAATTGTCAATAAGTAAATTTGCGAGAGACATTAAATTTTACGTCCGAGATGGTACTAGAGGACTAGAAGTTGGTTCAAAATTAGTCGACGGGAGTGGCACCGGCCACTTTAGGTGAAAACTCATATCTCAGAGAAGATATTATAATAGGGTGTGATCTAAATGCGAGACATACCATATAGGGCGGCACCAACAGGAACGATAGGGGTGATAAGCCCATATTATTTTTTCCAAATACGGCAAATTTTTCGTGTTGGGTGAAGTCTTAAAACTTACGGTCTCAACGGAATCACAGCTTGGTCGTCGAAAATAGAAAATATTTTAACCACCTCATCCAATCAATTTATGCTGTTAACTGTCATCAAAAAGAGGAATTCGCCTCCTTTTTGGAACGGCGACCTTAAAAACCTAAGAACTCTTCTTATAAATACTTTTGGCATTTGTATAAAGATAACTTCATGAAATACAAAATTTCAGTTAGGAAAGCAAAGGCGGACTCTTGGCAATATTTCTGCACGTGAATAGAAGGGTGCTAAGAATCATCTAGACTGAGAAAGATACTATCTCAAGAACACATCAATATATCTTGTTTAAAGACAAGGGGTCGAATCTGGACCTCCTTTGCCGGAGAATATTTAGGGGAAATCCTGGAAATATACATCTATGGTAGTCGTCAAACCTCTGTGGAGTTACAATGCGACATAGTTATAAATACGCAGACCGATCCGGCCACATAGTAAGCAAGAAGAAAATTACATACGCTATAAACAGCTTCCTGCCACTTAAAGCAGCGTGTTCATATGGGATTATTTACATATTGTTGCAGAATCTAAAAGAACCTATGGTTATAATGCTAGAAAATATATTTAAGGCCCGCATCCAACTATCTCGCACCCCAAAAAGCTGGAAAAGAGTCAACGTAGTATTCGTCCCTAAACCGGGCAGAAGAACCGAGAAAAATGCTGAAGGTTTTAGAAATACTAATGGACTTGCACATAAGATCTATCCTAGCCGACACCTTATCAAATGCGCAACATGCATCCATGGTCGATTAACAGAAAGTGATAAATGTTATTGAAAAGTCACAAAATACCTCAATTCAATATTCCCTTACTCGATGGTACAACAATTTCGCTTTATCCACAGCTGGGAGTTAAAATAAATTGAAAGATTAACATCGAAAAAAAGCAAATAAAATGTATATGACTTACTAAATATGCAAACGAATAAAAAGCAGGTACTGGGGCCTTAAACCATATAAAGTTATGTGGCCGTCATTTGGCCGGTTTTGACAAACGGAGCACTGGATTTGTGGCCAGCCAGTGGAGTACAAAATAGCCTACGCAGGGGTTACCAGTGCTATTAGGCTATGCCCGATTGATGTCAATACAATCCTCCATCTGCCGCACATAAACGTATTTACTCGAAAAATAGGAGAATGTTCTTCCACAAAAATACAGGACGTAGGAGGCTAGAAAATATTATGGACATAGCCAGCACAAGTGGCAAAAGTCACGAATTTTCAAGTTATCAATATCAGAAAATCTATTCATCTAGTGGTACTAAGAGTGTCCTTACTATATATTCATAAACATACTCACGATGTTAGAGCAGCTTACAATTTAACATAACTAATAAATTATTTATCTCAACATTAAAACGAAATATTACATTTAGTTTCTTATACATGTTTACGTAATATTTGATAGCTTACCACTTATTATAATTTTAGCTTTTTCCTCGCTACTAATTTCCCCTTGCATGTGCTGCCCCTGATCATTTACAGTGCTCGGTCTACTAGTTATGAAAGAAGACTTTTGCGTATATGTTGTTATCTTAAATTTGTCTTTGAATTCCCCGACATTCATTTCACTATTGTCTGCTACTCCTTCTTCTGATATTACCAATTGGCTGGGCTCGTTGACCATGATATAGGTCTCGATGGTAGGTAAACGAGTGGAGCTCTGATTAATGCACATCATGGAAGTGCGAACCTCAATATTGCGACGACCAATGGTTGGATAACCTTTAATGTTAACATACTGAATTTTTTGCAGTAGCAGTTCGACATTGCTTTTGCTTTGACCTTGAATATAAATTTCATTCATTTGAGCATTGGCTTGTACCTGTGAACCAGCCTCTAGCAAACTTTCTGGAGGAGGTAACAAGTGCTCCGCACAATTGGTGCCACAGCGCACATCTTCCGCCGAAAGTATCGTATCGATTGATACTTTTATTTGAGAAATATCTCCATTGAAACCATGTTTCAAACGATTTTCCGAACTCTGATAGCAGGCACCCACTGATAGAGTAGTGTTGACCCCATGAGCGGCATGCAACGGCCAATCGTCTATGACCTCTGGGTTATTGTGACGATCTTCAACCGAGTTTTCAAAACGCACCCCATCAATATATAATTCAACTTTGGACAATTGATTGACGCTTAGAGCATAGTGATGCCACTCGTTGTCGCAGACGTGCGGTATTTTCCAACGCCATTCAGCAGGACTGAATATATTTAAGTCGCCTTCGTTAAAATTCTTACGCAATAATAATATCAGTCGACAGTTGCGTACAAATAATGCCATATGATGTCGATTCATTTTGTGATCATCGGCACTGCAAATGATGTGTTCTTTAGTGTGTTTGTTGCCTGACGCCATGCTGGAGTGTCTGAAAATTGTAACTATACTGAAAGAGCGAGTCGAAAAGTCATGGTGAAAAGAAAGTGCGTCTGGTACGATAACACCAGTAGATCCATCGAAATGAAAAACAGGTTCAAAACCCTCATCATAACTGAGATCCTTTGTCCATTCAGCATTTCGCGGCAATAGGTCGATAAAGGACAGGCCAGTCGAGCAGTTGCTAATGTCACGATCGCAACCGAAAGAAATATGTTTTGTCTGAAAGAGTATTGAGTAGAAAACGATAATATTTTAGATCGAGAGTATTTTATGTGAAAATCATCACACAGAATTACATTAGACGTTCGGTGGTGATTTTAAGAACTGAGAAAATGAAAACGATACGGATAGATGAACATAACGATTTCTTCCCCAAGAGAATGAAATGGTCTAATGTTTCTGTAATGCTACACAAAGCATTAAACTAACTTCCTAAAATTAAATTTTTACGGTGCTCTAACCAGCAACTCCATTAACTTTCTAGTAGATATCCAAGCAGCAATGAAGGCTGTCCATAGCGCCTATATTAAGTCTTACTGATTAAGTCTTACAAGAATTCAATAACGAGACTTTCAGTGGACATCTAGGTAAAATATAATCGTAATCAATCATATGGGAATAGAAAGAAATAAAAAGACTGATGAGATGGCCAGCTTGGACTGTAAACTGCCCTAAGGCATTAACTTTTCCAATAGTTCCTTGAAGTTAGGGACTTTAGAGGAACACTCTTAACGCCGAGCATGCCGCAAAAGTACTATGAGGGAGCGTTGATGGTGGACAGACCAGAAAGCTTATAATTTTAGGTAAAAGAAAAATAAGTAACATCTTAGTGGTAATGACCAAGCACTTACCTCTATATTCTTAACTTTAAAAACGTGGTAAAGTGGAATCGACAGAATGCAATGAAACATTACCTTTGCGAAAGGTCAGCCTTCAGTATGTTGAGATGAGATATCTTCCACGTCTTCCAAATCCGAACTTAATAGACATAGATTTAGTACGGCCGCCTGTAGTCTGATGCCTCCCCTTTTTACCTACCAAGTGTTTTAGAATTTTTAATAGTCCTAAACACTTCAGAAAATTAATTTTTAAAACGAAAGAAATTTTCTAGGCTCATTCTGACAACAACAGTCCATATTCGTCAAATATATGTCAGAGTATCCTTTTCCTATTTGCAGTTACGTAAAGACCTTCGTTTTAGAAGCATAGATCACATCAAAAGTGCATCGCTGAGACAGCTATAGGCTATCCCAAAACCGAGTTTGAGAAGTGCTTCGAGGATTGGAAAAAGCGCTGGCATAAGTTTATAATATCGAATGGGGACTAGTTTAAAATCAACAAATTTAATCTAAACAAACGAATAAATATTTTTTACAAAACAAAAACGATAATGCCGCGTTATTTTTGAACACACCTCTTATTCTTACTTATATACTTCTAGCTATAATTTAATATTTTGTTACTTACCTTCAAAGCCACAGAGGTGTGAATATTCAAATTCTGTTTGCCGCAATATAAGTCACAAAGTTCCAGGCGGGCGTTTGGGAAGAGCGAAAGGCTTTCTGTTGTCGATGCCTAGATATGTACTAAATCTAGTTATATATATTTGCTAATTTTACGCATTTAAATGTTATTCGCCTCACCGTGTAGTCTATACGTTCGGGAATTCCTAGGAATCTCGCATCACAAACCCGACGCACCTTAATGCTCACCATAATTGGAGCCGACTCTTTCATCGCGCAATCGTATGCCACCACCGACAAAATGTGATTATGCGAAGCTTTGTGCGATAATGGTTCAGTATTCTTGATTGATCCCTCATTATCAATAATAAAAGGCTGATCATTGTTGAGTATCTCGTATTTACAAACGTCGCCAAATAAAGGTGTACAATCCTTATCGGTCGCCTCAACGCGTATAATTTCTTTATATAAGCGCCCTTCATCAACTTCAGTTACATACGAGGGTTGAACGAATGTTGGTGCATATTCATTAATATCAATAACCGTTATATGAACATTAGCCGTCGCCGAGTGGGTGCCATCGCAAAAAGTTGCCATAATTTCAAAATGATAACTTTTACGTTTCTCACAATTAAGTGTGCGACGAGCCTTCAAAATCCCTAAATTGTTTATTAATTCAATCTGAAATCGTAATACGCGCATTAATTATAGTTAGCTATCTTTTATGTTTAAGATACGCACTTGGAATGGTATTTCATGATATGGTTTCTTTAATATTCGAAAGTTGCATATTTTCTCCTCATCTACTTTAATTAGCGGTGTTATTTCAACCAAAGTTTCATTTTCACGTATTAATCCATGATATGATTTTTCCAAAACGTTTTCTGAAATCATAATATGATGCGTAATATACATATTTATGGGAATTAATTATTTAATTGCTGCCGCAATATGTTGCGCAGACTATACCCGTTTTATTGACCTTGTGGTTGTTAACATATAATCCTGGATATCCTTTAGTTTGGTTACATTCTATATATCCACGGGCTATCTCAAGTTTCATATAATAGGTACTATATTCATAATATGAGGGGTTAAATGGGTATCCAAAAATCGATTTTTTTTATGTCTTATTAAATTCTAAAACACCTCTACAATATTGTATCAAATTTTCAAATTTATCTGAGTAATATTTTCGGAGATACAGATCAGGTCTTTGAGATATCTGTGAAAAATCCAATTTCCTTCGTCCAAGTTCTGAGTTAAGGTAGTAACTAAAACCCGTATTTTTCACTTTCGATGATCTTTAAGGAGTTATCCTGCCAACGCGGGCTCATCTTTTTTCCGAGGGTTTACCGGAAATGGCGTTCCAATGGCCGAGTGTGAAATATTTTTTTCATAAATTTCAGAATTTCTTTGTTAATAGTGTATCTTTGTAACAATAAATAATTCTAATAAAATGTTTCATTTTTGAAAAAAGGCTAAGGAAACCCATTTAACCATTTAACGAAACTGCATGGAAAGAAGTTTTCCTGTAGACTTGGCTAAATACATCTGATATAGGGATGTCCAGTTGACTTCAAACTATATATGTGACCTGGTCTACGGAAAGGGGGCTTAGGTGTCAAAAAATCAATTTTCACTTTTAAGTTGATTCGGATGGAAGATGAGATGCTTTTTTTAACAGCTGTTTCCCAGAAAACTAGTTTTCGCACGTTAGCTCCATTTTCGTAGACCAGGTCACATATATAGGTCAAAATGTTCGATATGTTAATGACAAATTAAGATATGGACAATAAATCTATATAAGAAGTTAGGTCTGACCACTATTTTTTAAATTTTTGACCCACATATAAATGACAACTTTTAAATCAATGATTTAATGTTATTGACTGTTCGGACAAAAAGGGGTACATTGAAGAGCGCTTAATAAAATGTAGCGTTCCAAACTTAGTTAACAAGTTTTTTCTCAACTGATCTACTTACCTTTTTGTGATAAGTAATCATCATCGTTTTCGTTAGACAAACTCATCTGGTATTTGAGGGGTGTCATGGATGAACCTGTTGCTCTCGCTAACCCACAACTCAGCAACAGAAAACTGACCGCTAGAGATGCTACTTTGTTATTACACATTCTGTTCAACTTTTTTGAAACTCTCTCAGTAGTGGAAACTTTCTTTTAGTTGTAATATTAACTATTTTCCTGACTATTTTTGAGTTTTACTTATTTTTGCGGGACTAAAGCCGCGTACTTATCCGAAGTTTCACTAAAAGTAAAACAAAAAGCATACAATATTTTTTGAAAGAATTTCATCTATTAAGTATATGTGGTATGTTAGCAGAGCATTTTAATGAATAGAGAAAGCGCAAACGTTAAATCAAATATTAGTGAGTATTAATTTGTAGTTTTCATATGAGGGACCACCAAAAATATTATATCACTTCGAAAAGATATATACACCAATGTGGGAAATGGGGAAAATACTATAAATAGACACTAATTTTTCTTAAATGAATTATCGACGCACATATCTATTAAGATTTATATGTCCACTTTGTATGATTTGAAAGAATTTAAGTATGTTTATGAAAAGGCTTAGAATTAAAATGGAAGATATCTCGTAAAATCCACAGAGTTCTTAATAAAAATATCATGTAATATAAATTTTTGCAACTCATGGTACACTGTACCAATACTTGTGCATTTTATGCCACCATTGATTATGTGTAGTAGATTGAGATACCATTGAAGCGAAATCTAAATTTCCATTGAGTAAAACACAACATTCTGTAGACTGTGATTCTAGAGATCTCTTTGCTTGGTTTTTAATAACACCTTAAAACGTTTCGCATATTTTCGGTAAGAACCCTGCGAAAACGGTGCGCACAACCCTAATCATGACTCGAAAACTAAGTTTTTATTGCTAACAATCCTATATTTACCAAAATATATTTAATATGCAATTATCTTATAATCGTATGAGCACATCCGATTTTTTCCTGAATAAGGCCGCAATCTGAAAGCATCAAAATTTTCTAAGATATTTGTAGAGTTGTATTAGCGATGCAAATACCTATGACAATATGACAAAAATTATAATGATGAAAAGTTTTTTTTTGTAAGAAACAAAAACAGCAGACCAAAATACTAATTAAATCCATAACAGGAATTTATAGGAGAGAGATATTTTATTTGAGGAAGGACAGGATTTTAACAATTTTTGCTTTTGATGATATTATAAAAGGTAATGAAATGCAATATAACGTAATTTGTATTTGAGTTATAATTTGAAAATAAACTATTTAAATTCATATATGTATCTACTCATTTAAGGTGTATACAAGAATACGAAAACAAAATACGCAAAATGAGACATACATATACATATACGTAATTTTTCTGCAAAATAGCAATATTAGACCAAATACAAATTGTTTGGAAACATATTTTAAATTATTTTGATAATGAACTTAATTATTTTTTTATACTTTATTTTTATAATTTAACACAACCGTCTTAATACTCGCCCTACTAAATTTAATATAACCGAAATGAAACATCCGTTGTTATATACATACATATGTCTGCAAATGTGTTGCCTCTTCGAAATTTTCACTGAAATGAAAACTGATCTGTCATTCAATAGTTAGCGCACAAATTTGTGAGCCATATATTGTATTCCATGAGGAATATAGAGTTTTCACAGGCAATAAGTACAGCAACACAGTTAGTATACCATAATCTTTTACCCTCTCGAAATGCCCTGTTCAGAAAAGGATAAAACGGACGCGACCCTTTTTTGGGTCAAGGCGAACATAAGAATTAACATTCGAATCCTGAAACTCATGAGCAACACCAAAAGCTCCGTCAGAATCGGGAAGGACTTCTCCGAGCCGTTCGATACCAAACGAGGTTTCAGACAAGGCGATTCCTTATCGTGCGACTTTTTCAACCTGCTTCTGGAGAGCTGCAGAACTAAATAGAGAAGGTACCATCTTCTACAAGAGTGTACAGCTGCTGGCGTATGCCGATGATATTGATATCATTGGCCTCAACACCCGCGCCTTTAGTTCTGCTTTCTCCAGACTGGACAAGGAAGCAACACAAATGGGTCTGGCAGTGAACGAGGGCAAGACGAAATATCTCCTGTCATCAAACAAACAGTCGTCGCACTCGCCAAATGGCTCTCACGTCACTGTTGACACTGATAATTTTGAAGTTGTACACATCTCGTCTATTTAGGAACTAGTATAAAGACCCCCAACAATGTCAGCCTGGAAATCCAACGCAGGATAACTCTTGCCAACAGGTGCTACTTCGGACTGAGTAGGCAATTGAGAAGCAAAGTCCTCTCTCGACAAATAAAAACCAAACTCTATAAGTCACTCATAATACCCGTCCTGCTATATGGTGCAGAGGCTTGGACGATGACAACAACTGATGAGTCGACGTTGCGAGTTTTCGAGAGAAAAGTTCTGCGAAAGATGTATGGTCCTTTGCGCGTGGGCCACGGCGAATATCGCATTCGATGGAACGATGAGCTGTACGAGATATACGACGACATTGACATAGTTCAGCGAATTAAAAGACAGCGGCTACGCTGGCTAGGTCATGTTGTCCGGATGGACGAAAACGCTCCAGCTCTGAAAGTATTCGACGCAGTACCCGCCGGGGGAAGCAGAGGAAGAGGAAGACCTCCACTCCGTTGAAAGGACCAAGTGGAGAAGGACCTGGCTTCACTTGGAATATCTAATTGGCGCCACGTAGCGAAAAGAAGAAACGACTGGCGCGCTGTTGTTAACTCGGCTATAATCGCGTAAGCGGTGTATACGCCAATCAAGAAGAAGAAGAAGAAACTCATGAAACAAAAGTTTTATACTATTTTATTTTATTAACTGGAATCTTAGCAGTTCTCAACTGAGTTGCTTCAATAGCATATTTTATTTACTGGGATGATTCAAAATTTCAGAAAACATGTTGACATGTTTAGATTTATAGAATGTTCACTTATTTACACGTATTTACATATGTAAACATGACAATCACACGTAAATAGATTTGTGCATGAACGATGAAGCTTGCTTCTCTTTGTCCCGCGCAAACAATGTCCTAACTCTTCCCGCAAAACTAAAACGGCTGTGTAAACTGACGTTGAGCAATATCAAAAGTTCCGTCAGGGTCAAGATGTTCGATACTAAATGACAAGGCGACGCCCTATCGTGAGACTTCTTCAATCTATTGCTAGAGAAAATAATTCGAGCTGCAGAGGTGAATAGAATAGGTACAATCTTCTACAAGTATAATTGCTGGCGTACATCGATTATATACATCAATAGCAACTGCGCTGTTAGTTCTTCTTTCTCCAGATTGGACAAAGAAGCGAAGTAATATCTCATCTAATCGAACAAACAGTCATCCCACTCGCGACTTGGCTTCTACGTCACTGTTGATGTCGTGAACACATAGAGAGCTACACGACATTCCTGCACGACAGTGAACTGCAAACGGCATAGTGAAGTCTGCTACATGAATATTTGTAAGCATGTACACAAAAACACAGCTGTCCATTTTGTATGTCACAATTTTGTTATTGCCCAAGGTTAGCTTTCACTTCATTGAAATTTTAATTTTTTGTTCAAAGTGAAAATTTTTATGCAAAAAATAAGTAAATAGGTAAATGTATTCGTTTCAAATTATTACAAATTATATAACAGATATATTTTATGCTTCTCTTTGTAAAATAACGTCAGGCTTGTTAGAGCTTTGAATAATTTTACATTTTACATATTAGTGACATTACTACTCCTCTCCACGGTAGTCGGAAAATTGGAAATAGTTTTAATTTAGCGAGAGCGACAACTGAAAGCTTGCTGTCGGGTAGTCGTGCAGCTGCCTAAGTAACTGTGTCCATAATACCTTTTAATCACTAATCACTATTAACCCCAACAACAACTTCAATCAGTTGAAAATTGGATAGGAAAACAAAATTTTAATATTGGGAGGATTTGGTTTGTTTTCATCGGGAGTTACAATATGCTAGACCATATGTTTCTTTTTTCAGGATTTCGTATTTGTCTAATTGTAAATTAAATTTGCTTCAGACAATCATACGAGTAAATGTTTAGTTCGAAGTATGGAAATAACAATTACATATGTTGAATGCAATTTCTAAGCATATATAAATTGATCTCAATAATTTGACATATTTAGTGATTAAATAGTCTAGACTCAGATTGCCCTAGGTTTACAAATGTACATCAGTCATATTTTTTTTATATTTTAAACAAATACGGGAAATTATAAGAAATCATATCAAAGATCAAACTTAATTTTATTAACTGCTTTTTTTTT